CTGCTGATGACCCTGTCCTGGGAGCAGCCACAGGAGACATGGGGTCAGGTTTAGATGGGTGGTGATGTTGAGGTTGAGAGCCAAAGAGAGTGGCCAGAGACAGAGACTTTGGTGCAGGACCTTCACTGTCCTGGAACAGACAAATGCAGTGCAGGATAAGACAAAAGAGGAGTGGTAGGCATGAAGAGAAAATTGTCTTCTTGTACGTCACAATTTTGCTCTTAATATAAAAATAAGACATCAAGGGAAAACAATGCACTAATGTGGAACTGAATGTCAGTAGGAACTGGGTGTTTCACCTTAGTGTTCGGTTTAACAGGTATTGGTTTAATCAGGTTGGTGTTTCCATATAGAACACTGCTGCCACCAATCTCCTTTGGCTCTGAAGTAGACTTCTCCGAAAACAGAGTGAGAGAGGACAATACAGAAAAATGGAACAATGGAAATGACAGCAAAATGGAGATACAAGGTCCAAAACAGGCACAGAAACATGACTGCAGTACTATAGGCTACTTAAGAAGATCTTAAATACCTACTAGTCAGAATCAAGAAATGCAAATGTACCAATAAGGTCTGGGTCATATCTACCCTAAACGAAATTATTTAATGGCATCTAAAATGTTAAATCTGTAATATTCTATTTACTGATTTTCCACCAAAGCTTACAGTATTTGGTGTTGACTTTCATAATGTGTTTCTGCTCTGCTGTAATGTTATGAACCACTGAGACATCTTCAATCACCTGGTACAGGTCTGCTCATTGTCCCGACACAAAAATTCAATGTTCAGCTGTAATGCAACATACACAGTTTCTGCAACAGAAAGCTTGAGGTTTGATAATTCAATGCTTCAGACCTTTCTGTTTGCCTTTTTTTAATTAAAATTTGGTTCTATTTACTATTGATATGTGTCATTTTGCATTGCATTGTGCTTAATCCTTTCTTTGTCTCAGATGAAAACAAACAAACTTAATTTCTCTGTTGTTGTAATGTGCTATACACATAAACCTGCCTTGCCTACCTTGTCATACTCCGTACGTGCTTTGGTCAGCATCTGGATGATGTCTACTGCCTTCCCCTCACTTCGATCTCGTCCTCCTCCTGGGGACAACCAACCACCCTGAGACTGAGCCAGGACCTGCTCCTGCTGGGTCAGACTGCACACAGGAGTCCAGAAACATGCATGTCCAATTTCTTTTCAAAAACTAACTGTAGTGACAAGCAGTAAAACAAAAATAAAAAAACAAAAATGTAAATGTAGCTGTTGGACCATAACCCAGTCACTGTTTAGTAAACCAATCGTATATTCAATGTTCTTCTGATTTTTTAGGTGTTGTAAATATTAGCTTACTATTACTTACATCTTCATCCTCTCTGCAATGCGTTGACAGTCCTCCTTATCATAGAACCAAATCCCATAGATAACCACTGGGTAAGGAAGGGATAGGGGAACAGAGAATGGTTGGGAGACAGAGAAAAAGAACACTGCACTTCTGAACATACTACATAAAGAAAAATGCAATAAATTTCATGTTATGCAAGTAATGACCCAGTCAATACTAAAACTGGTGTAATAATTAATTAGTTTGAGTTTCTGAGATCAGCAGACATCAATGTTAACATACTGAGCTGACATAGCCTTACAATCAAATGAATGCACAGACGTGCTGTAGTACAGTCCTGTCTTTATAATATCAGTGCAGGCTCAACAGACATGTAAACCATTTATTATTAGTGCTGCTGCGTCTAAACTCAGGGTTCACGATTTCCCAGCCAGGCCACTGGCACTGCTGGGCCCCAGGAGCCTCCTGAGCTAAATAAACATGGTCAACAAGGGAGGAAAGAGGCAACACTAACACACATTTGTCATTGGATTACAGAACAGTCAGTAAGCATGCTATATCGCGCTTACAGTGACTCAGTCTAATACTTTCATTTACACCTGCTCCTAAAAGCAGCTAGTGTTGTATAATTATTCACATCCAGTCAGTGAGGGAGCAACTACTTTCATTTAGTCTAGCAACAAAATTTAGTATCACAAAATAAAAAAGACTGAAGGTATTTAAAAGAGATCCTCCAAAAAGAAACAAAGAAAAAGAAAAGAACAGTATTAATATGCACGCTTACAACCTAAAATCACACAAAAGGAAAGAGGCAAAGTCTTACAGACATGATGGAGTAAAAGGAAAGATAAACACAAATGGACTGGAGAGGCAGGATTTAAAGTGAGAAAGAAAAGAGAGTAAGAGACAGACAACAGAGCAAAGTGAGGTGTATCCTGTGTAGTGGACAGAGGTACCACAGTAGTCCCATCAAAGACACACACAAACACACTTTCCCATGCACAAAAATACACAGCCCGAGTACAGAAATGAGTGTGGACAAGGCACCGAGGTCAGTAAGGATGAGGGGAACAGACAGAGAGGGAGTGGCAGAGACACATATGCACACATTCACACACAGGGTTCAGTTGAGCCTGGGAAAAATCAGCCCAGTACCAAATAAGTAAATGCAGAGGGAGACAGTCTAGTAGAGTCAGAGCCACTTAGTGCTCACTGGGGATGAGAGTGTTTGACATAGAGACATGCATTCAAAGTAAGAGAGCTGGAAAATTGAGAAAAAATGAGCGAGACGGATATAAAATAGAAAGAAGTGAAGTGTGTTACAGGCAAGATTATCAACAAGTCCATCAATAACTAAATATCTAGTTCACTGAGCTCTTTAGCTGTCACTGAATGAAAAATGTTGAGCGGAAGTGAACTGATGCAAAAAACACACAAGAACCTGTGATACAAGACAGTCTCAGTAACCAGTACTCTACCCTGCTCAACACCACAGACCAGAGATGAAGACGACAGGGTAAAAAGGGCTTGAGAAGTTTGTTTAATAGAGGAGATTATCACCTGAGTTTTATTCTGTCCAGATCTGCCTGATGTGTCACTCTCAACAAGATAGAAAACCTCAGGAGAAAGAGGGAGAGAGAGAATGAGGAAGCAAGAGAGGGAGGAGGAGTACAACCAGTGGCACAAACAAAGACGTGGCTGTGGCCACAAGGTTAGGTTTTCAGAGTGAATATTAGAAAGACAGAAAAAGAAAAAGGGGTCCAGACAACAACACTGGAGACTGAAGGAGACCGGAAAAAAGGCAGAAGGACATCTGCACTGTATGGGTGAAAGAGAGATCCTGACCAAGTGAACTGGACTGGAAAACTAACTGATACTTATGACAGCATCCCTCAACAGTTTGAACAAGGAGCATCAGGATATGGCGCCAATCATGCTATTGAAGTCTGTAAGTGATTGAGGCTAACAGTTTGAACAAGGAGCATCAGGAAATATGGCGCCAATCACGCTATTGAAGTCTGTAAGTGATTGAGGCTTAAGCTTTGTGGTCCTTTCAAAGCCTCCGTGACTGCGATAAATCAGCCAAACAGTGAGCACTGCTGCACATGTTTTGGGACTTTGATGGATCTGCAGTGGGACATGGATGCATAGAAAGACATTAAAGGCATTTTAAATTTTAGTAGGACAGTATTTTAGTTTTTTGTTTAATGGAATGGAAAGCAACACTCCATCACTGAAGAAGACATTTTAGTTATATCTTGATTTATGTTTTTGTTCAACTTTTACAGCAACATCAACGTTTCCAGGAGAATAAAGTAACTGTTTGGCTGTAACCCAAACTACAGTACTGGGAGTACTGACTATCACTTTTATGTTTTACACCTTTACAACTTCCATCTGAGGTCTCAACAGGCACGTTAGAGCTGCAGAAAGTGAGAACTTCTGCTGCTGAAGCCCAGCTCTAAAAAGGCACTACTGTTTGTGCACTTACCTGTAACAGCAGTGCACCATCACTGCTTTGCTACTAAAGAACAAAAATCTAATTTGAAGAACTATCACAACACCTTTATTAGACCTTTTGCCAGATAAGGAATTACTGGAGCTACAGTTAAAAGGCATAATCTAAGCAATTACAATTACAACAAGACTGTAAGACTAGTGAGAGAACAGTGGAACCATGCTGAGGGGTCTGTTTCACAGGAAACCTAGACATAAGAGACTGCAGGAGGAATCCGAGGTCAGATTTAAAGGCTCGCTGGTGTCAGAGAAGGACCTGGGATACACACATATCCGACCTGGAGGTAAGACATTAATCTGTCAATGAACTGATTGATCGTTCGGTCTATAAAATGTCTGAAAATTGTGTAAATGTCCAATGTGACATCTTCATATTGCAAACACTCTAAACAGAAAAACATTCAGTTTACTATCACATAAGACAAAGAAAAGCAGAAAATCTTCACAGCAGAGGAGTTGGAACTGGGCTATCTTAAAAATTACTTTACTTAGAAATTACTTAAAAATTAATCAATTAATTGTTGAATTTACATTTACTTGGAATAATTATGTGATTGATTCAACTAATAGTTGAAAAACAGTGATCCAAAATCTGTGTGAGTGGGTTAGTGGCATGGCAAGACAGATGTAAATGTCACATAAAATCTAATTATACAGAAGTGAAACTATAAATCAAATGGAGAACACTGAATACTGGGACCTAAAATTTTTACCAGAATGTTTGCGGTTTTAGCTCTCAGCTATTCTAGAGAAACAAGACATTAGAATGATTTGTTACCACATAAGAGTGCCTAGTAAAACAGACATATTAACTGGCCACAGCCAAAAAGCAAAGTACAGCCAAGGTTTGGAGTTAAGCTCCCTGTGCTGACAATGGGGCAATTGAAATGCAACTAGGAATTGGAGGTGCTTATAGGAAGGAATGTAAAAAGCTTCCTATCAGTTCCTGTGCACTAAGATATTTTTGGGCTTGCAATAATCACTTGCTCTGGCCAAATTTCTCCTCCCTCAGTCTTGCCCTGTTCTGTGGTATATCTGTACAGTTTATTAATAGCCTGGGTTGCCACTTTGTGCCAAATGCCATTCCAGGAAGTTACGGCAGTAATAAGAGCTACATGTTTATCTAATGATAAGATTCCACGACCCCTCCACACAGAGGTCACAACACAATGGGACTGACAGCATGACCAACAGCCTGGGGCCTAAACAGTCTTACAATTTAAATGTTGACCAATGCAATAAACACCTTTTCTGAACTGACACGCATTCATCTGAATACAGTTTTGAGAAAAAGATCCCTTCAGTCCACACACACATACCATCATCCAGTAAACACTCATGTAAATGTTAGCTTACTCCAGCAGTGCAGGGGAGGCTTGTCCCTTAGAGCACCAAGGTGCTGTTTCTCTGGTAATATGCATATATGATTTGTTAGTTAAATCTGGCTCAATCTCGTAACATATCAGCATGCTAAAAATTACTTTATGGTCCAAGAATCCTAGTAAATCATATCAAATATTGTGATAAAAATCTGCTTGACTACAACCATGCCGCATCTCTCCTTTTTTGGGTATTTCATTATCCGTCTTCATTTGGTGCAATTAGCTGGAGCCACTGACCATTATGTATGCACCCACTCTTTAACTAACATAACCCCAGCCAGTCAGTAAGTGAGCTGTGATTACTGACTGGTTTATTGCATTTTTAGTATTGCATTAGTATGTAATGTGTGTTTACACCTGGTGGTAAGAGCTCAATGAGGAATATACAGTCGGTACGGAAAGTATTCAGACCCTCTTAAATTTTTCACTCTTTGTTATATTGCAGCCATATGCTAAAATCATTTAAGTTCATTTTTTTCCTCATTAATGTACACACAGCACCCCATATTGACAGAAAAACACAGAATTTTTGACATTTTTGCAGATTTATTAAAAAAGAAAAACTGAAATATCACATGGTCATAAGTA